TTAAGATCAGAGGAACTGAGTGATGATCACTTTCCTTATTCATCATTCCTGATTAAGTGCGAGCCAGCTGTTCAGGGCGGCACAAACTAGCAATGGCTCATTTATGAACTAATTACTTGATCATTAGTTACTATTCCCACATGCGGCGGCTCGTCGTGGTCGTCGCTAACTTCTCCTTCACCACCTCAACTTCTTCGCTCGTCCGACAGCTGCTTCGGTGCACCTGAAATAAAGCCTCGTCACGCAAAACTAACGGCGTCTACGAGTCAAAAACGAACCAGAAAGAGCCCGAAAATGAAATTAATCACAAAGTAATGAGGGGCGAGTGAGCGGTTACTATTTTATTCCGCTCAGCAGCTGGTTCAGACTTAATCAGAAAAGACTTATGAAGGAAGTGATTGTTTTTCTGTGTCACGGATATTTATGAGCTAATCATTACTAAATTATTTTTTAATACAGTATCTCCCGGTCTGTTCTCTGGTAACTCATCATTAGTCCTTGACTCTGAGTTATTCAGGAGCCGCGCATTAACACTTCATTAATTATCTCTTCATTTCTAATTTCTTCCTCGTTTGTTTTACACTTACTACTCACATTTTCTGTGTTGCAGTGCAAAGTGCAGGTTTGCTAGATGCAACCAATAACGTATTGAGCGTCTGCCTAGCAGGGGGAAAAAAAAACACACAAAAAAAAACCCTATTAACAAAGTTTACTGCTTTCCTTGTCGTGCCTTTACAAAACCAATACTCTGCAAGATGTTATCTCCGAGCTGAGGTCAGAGAAGATGTAGCTGGACAAACAATGCGCTGAGGTTATGTATCACCTCAGCTACGCAGCGGTTAAAAAAAAAAAACAGCAGCAGCATGTGTCTGTGCGCATGCGTGCACACTGGAGTGGAGTAGAAAGGAAAATCACACCTCACACACAAACAATGAACGTTTGATAAACAAAGAAAGACACACCCAGCAATGAGCTAAATAGCTTCCAAGTGAATTTCCACACAGGCTGCACTGGTGGCGGCTTGTTTGTGTGGTTGGTGATTGTCATGCACGCCGGATGCATCCCGCTCCGGGGTCAGCTTTCTGTGGATCTTCAGGTAGAGGCAGAGTTGGCCCTTGTGCAGCGTAGGAAGGTCAGTCTACCACTCCACCAAGGGGAGCTTCAGATTAATGGCCAGGGGCGGCGACTCTCTGCAGGCCTTCATGCATCATGTCCCATTCACCGCCAAACATGTCAGGGAGCGCTCCCGCCGGGATTTTCAGGGATATTTATGGAGCGTTTCCATCACTTTTGCCTCCTGCCTATTGGCTCCGAGCTCTGATCCTCGCCGGCTGAAAGACGAGAGGGGAGAAGAGAAGCCGCTGTGGGGGTGGCCGGGGCGTGGTGGACGGCGGTGGTCCTGAAAAGCCCAGCCGAGGGACTTTCATGCGCATACCTGGGCCACTCGCCTTAGCGACAGTGTTGCTCGCCGGTTGCCATGGTAGCCACCCTACAGCTCACCGCCATCCTGCAGCTGCAGTGCTGGTCATTAGTCACAGAGACAGGCCGTCCACATTATCACGACGCCCTTCCTCCACCGATCAGCTGCTCACATTCCAAAACTGCCGATGCCTCTCAGCCATAGCATAGATGCATGAGTTGCCATGGCAACATATCTGACTCCCATCTCCCATTGTACGAGAGCATCCTTGAGCAGAGAGAGAGCCGATTGTGTTTTCGTTTGGAGTTTCGTAAATAACCTTTTTTTTTCTCTTAGAAGTAAATACATTCTCTGTGCTCGGACTCACAAAGCCGCTGAAACATAGCCCCGGCTTTAATCTTCACCAGAACAGCATGTGAGCAGCAGAATTTATTTTACTGAGCATGAATTTCAAGGTTAGGCCGATGGTATTGTTTGTGAAGTGTGTCCTTCAGAGATGAATGACTTCTGTTCACAGACATTCATTTCAATTTAACTTCATTTCTGGGAGAAATTAAGCCACTGACCAGGCGATTGCACGATGTTCAATCCAAATTTCATTTCATTAAACATTAAAAGGAAACACTGAAAGGGGGGAGAAAAATACACAAAGACGCCCTCTCGCACTGCACTTTCATTTTGACTTTCTGTTCAGCCTCTCGCTCTATCACACACACACACACACACTGAGACACTCAGATCAGCAGGCCTGTTTTCTCGTCAGGGTGATTATCCAGCTCATAACTCACTCAGAGCTTTCATTTGCACTATAATTCACACCAGTCCCAATGATGGCGACTCTATAATTCACACACTCACACACACACACGCTGATTATCTCAGCTGTAGCTCACACACACACACACACACACACACACACCTGCAATCAGACAGACCACAAAAGCAAGCGGACCGACGGATTATGAACGGAGCGGTGGAAGACTTTAAGCTAAATATACATTAGACCCTATATGGGAGCAGGTTTTTTTTCTTCCCCTGAGATGATGGTTCGATTCATCAGTCACTGTAAACAGCAGTGAAAAGCTATATAAAAATGTAAATGGAGGTTACATTCCAAGCAGCATTTTCCATTTGCTGTCATTTCGCAATATAATATAATAGTTGACACAGCCCTGAAAATATTTAATTTAATGTTTCCGCTCCTCTGTGTTCTCAAAGGTATACGGTTTCTTTCAAAGCCAGCATGCCCGAGCCACACAGTGTGTCAAAGAAATCTGATGAGCATAACTTAATACCATTATGTTCATTTTCAGACTCATTGAACAGGCCGGTGGATCTCAGTCTGCTCCCTCAGGGCAAAAGTGTAATAATATTCTATTAGGTCAGACTGACATGATTTGGTATCATCTTTAATGGTGATTCTCGCTTATTCGTTCTTTTGAAGATTAATGTGCCATTTCGGTGAAATGAAACGACATGAATAGCATCATGTTCACATCACATCGCCGTAGAGGAGGAGGAGGAGGAGGAGGAGGAGGAGGAGGAGGCACAGCGCAAGGAAAACTCATTATCAAAGCTCACTCAGTGACACAGTGAAGTACAAAAACATGCACTTTATTGCCTTTATAAGTTTATCCGGAGCTTTCATCTTGCAGTGCAACATCCTTTTCCACTTTGGACTCGATTTGGACTATATATTAAAGGAAATGCGATGAAATATGGTAAGAAATCTCAATATGTGGCTGTGCCATGGTGACAGTGATAGAGCTCACTTCCCTGGGTTAATGACATCTTCTTTGCCCTCCTGCACTCATTTTCTATCACTCCCTGCCACGGCCAGATGCTATTTATAGCCGCTCTGTCTATTACTGTACGGCTCGCTCTGTCTCTTTCTCCACTCTTTTAAAAATGCGTCACTCTCAGTCTTTTTCTCTTTCGCTCTCACTTTTTTCCCTCGCTCTCGGTAATTGAATCAATAAACAGACTTTAAACTTTCTTTTTTTTTTCAGTTTGGATTTCATCAAACTGACTCTCTGTCCTCGGAGAGGATGGGAAGCCGTGGATGGACTCCTGAACTCTGCTCTCGTCTCCAAGAGTGTTTCTCAGAGCTGCTCTCTCAACCCCCTTTCATCTTATTCCCCTCAAACATTCTCTTTTAAGTTTGATTTTCTGTAAAGCTTTCTTGGGATTTAGTCCATTTTCAAAGGTGTACGAGCTGTTGAAATGTATTGTGGGTATATATATATATATATTTATATATATTTTAATGTTTATGTTCATTGTTGAAAGCACTTTTATTCTACTGCTGTTTCAGCTGTTGCGAAATTTTAATATGCTCCATATTCTGGCATATTGCACCATCTAGACCATGGCTTTACCTCATCCTATTTCTGGATGTGTGAATGTAGTCTGTCATCATTCTCACTGACCCCATTTACACCTGAAATCAAATACATGTTCCGTAAAAGGTCCCAAAACGCATTTGAAATAGAGCATCTAAATGTAATTGACACCGTAATACACCCATCTATGTGTATGTACACGTATGTCTGTACAGAAATATAAATGCGTTTGTGTGTGATGTGATCATGGGTCAGTTCAAACTTGCGACCAGTTCTTTTGTGAAGGATTTTGAACCAGCATTGACGGTCGTTCTGCAGATTTAGTCGCCTCTGCTTGGCTCGATACAACTGACATGTTTGAAGGGTGCGGTTCTATGCAGACGACACCTCGCTTTGTAATGGTAATCATTGTCTGGCTCACGCAGCGCGGCGAAACTGTAAACGTTGTTTGTTTTTCCGCAGGGACTTTTTACTTTGTCAATTAATGAGCATTGTGCGATGCGATTCTTATAAACCCAAAAGATTTCCTCCCATGCAGGCGCTCCCCCATTAAACATCAACATAGGTAACAGTGGAATATATGGCGCAGAGGTCATTTGTTTTTAATTAGCGTGATTAATTCATTTTTAATTTGATTGGCCTCTTTTTTTCCACTATCTGTCTTTCTGTTCCTGCTTCTCTTTTATGCACCACTTAAACTGTGCTCCTGATTTTTTTCGGTTGCGCCTATTGTCTCGTTCATCCCTCTACCTTTTTCTCCTCTAATTTCTGTGCACTCCTGTCTGGCTTTTCTTTGCTCTCGTCTCATTTGAGAATCATTGAAATCAATGGGACAAAATGGAAGAGTGAACCTTTCTGTCAAGGCTGAGCGAGGGAGTCAAAGAAGGGCACCCACCCCTGAACTCCCCTCCCAATGCAACTAATTGCCTATAATTACACCGACGACTGCCACAGAATGCAAATCAGTCGAGGTCCAAATGCCTAATCCGCACTGTAAATCAGTTTCATGTCGGTGTGTGACTGAGCTGTGCAGAGCAGCGAGCACAATAGCATCAATAATATGAGTACAACTACTGAGGTATGAAAGTGATGGCGCTGTTTGAGCTGATGTCGCCTGCGTTGCATCGATCATTCGCTTGAATGTGCGCTCGTGTTAAGGAATCTATGGCTGTTACAGGTGACAATTCAGAGGTCTTGTGCTTACGTGATTTCTTCTTTTTTTTTTTTCAAACCCTCAGGAGGAATATTCGAATCCATTGAGAGTGGGCCCTCCGGAGCAGAGGAACTAGCCTTTAAATTTGCCTTGAACACAATCAACAGGAACCGCACATTGCTCCCCAACACCACACTGACCTATGACATCCAGAGAATAAACATCTTTGACAGCTTTGAGGCCTCCCGGAAAGGTGAGTCAGGAGGTATGGGAGGGATGTTGGGCAGAGCTCCACCGTGAGCGCTGTTTTTTTTTTTTTTTTGTACTTCATCGCATTTGTGTGAAATAGTGATTCACACGAAGCCCCCTTGAACAATCACTGTACTGTCCGCTCGCTTATTTGAAAGTCAAATTTATGCACACTTCTGTGGAGTGCCCTAAGAAAATCCCCTGCTAGTGTGAAAGCAGGAGAGGGGGAAAAAAAAGAAGTAATATCCAATCCGTGTACACTATTTTACGCTTAAAATTCCCGTAATATAACACATCACATTTGATGGATGCACCATTCATCCGGCGTCATGCAACACTACGCCTCAATAATGATGCAAAATAACCACCATGTCTAAAGTGTCTAAGAAATCTCGATTTACTGCTCACTCTGAAGATAATTATTCAGTTTTTATTATTAAATCGAGTTGTGAATGAACAAACAGGGTATTGATTCCAGACGCAGCCATAAAGTCAATTTGGTATTCTTTTCTCTGATTCGTACCATCGAGCCGCTCGTACAACCTGCAACGGCAAAACATCCACAAAGACTTGACGTTCATTTGCTGAAATAGACTAATTTACAGTGTTTACAGTCACATTGCATGAAAAGATAAGCGTGCATACACATAAACGACGGCTTGTGGAGTCTTAAAAACGACTATTGTTTAAGCTTGTGTCGTTACATCTATGCTTTTATTACAACACATATGTCATACCGACCAAACAGGGTGCATCTTTACCAACCTCTTGTTTGTATCTTGCACAGTTTGTTATTTATAACTGCTTATTGCATTGAATGGGATAGCACCTGATTTCGTTGTGCTTTTTTTGGTATTATGACATTAAATGGTTCTGATTCAGATGTAAATAAGAGGCAAGATCTTGCAAAAACATTCCTCCAAATCTGTAGCAGTTTAAAAAAATCTACCTTTAATTCTGATTATAAACTGTATTGTGGATATTATCGGGCAGCTATTCTGATTTTGCATTAGAAGATTTAACCCTCACCTGTTGTTTCTTTTCCGTACCAGCATGTGACCAGCTTTCCCTCGGAGTGGCGGCCATTTTTGGCCCCTCACACAGCTCGTCGGCGAATGCAGTCCAGTCCATCTGCAACGCTCTGGGAGTGCCCCACATCCAGACCAAGTGGAAGCATCAAGTGTCAGACAACAGGGACTCGTACTATGTCAGCCTGTATCCCGACTTCTCCTCCCTCAGCAGAGCCATCCTCGACCTGGTGCACTTCTTCAAATGGAGGACGGTCACCGTGGTCTACGACGACAGCACAGGTACAGGTACAGTCGTGTTGTCCGTCCTCGTCCTCCACCCTCCCGTCTGCTTTGTGTGATGATGAATGTGCTGATTTGTTTTTGAAAAAAACCTGCAACGTTCACCCTGCAAAGTGTCCAGAAAACAAAAAAAAAGGAGGCGCCAGGTGAACTACAGAAAGCAGCACTGCTGCACAGAGTTCAGTGAGTGCTTTGTAACCTGTCAAGTTAATTCAGAAATCAATAGCTTACTGTTCTGCCTCAGTCCTCCAGGTGCTGCCCATGTCAGTCTTCCAGGAGAGTGAGCAGCAGCATAGAAAAAAAAAAGAGAACCACATTACCCAGAATGACCCAATGTCTCTTCAGATTAATGCAATGCAGAATTGTAGTATGTGGGCGCTGACAACAGCCATTAATAACACACAGAGACACTTGATCTCTGAGGGTGGCTATCAAATGTGTCTGTGAGCCATTCCGTCTATCCTGTGACTTTGTAGAGTGGCTCATAATATGCATTATAAAAGGCGAGTCGTATTTTAGCCGGAGTACTGTGATATTTTTACGAGGTAAAGTGTAATCACTCCGCAGAAGATAACAATATTCAAATGCTTATTCACGGTTTACGAGCTGTTTGGCGTGATGTGGTTGACAACTAAATGTAAGTAAATTACAGCGTTAGGAGGGGATTTAAATTGTAGGCAGGTTGCTGCCTAATGAATTTACTTGTCTCGTAGCTGACATCCTAAATTGTGCCTCTAAATAGATATTTAAACCCCCTTTCTGTAGCTAATATCAATGAAACTATTACTTTGGAGCCGTTTTTCTTCCTCCAGTCCTTCCAGCTGTGACATACATTCCTCCTGCAGGATTCCAGCACCTGTACGTTAACCTCAGACGATATCCCGGTGACTCGTCCCACTTGCCACATTATTCTGACTCATCTCCTTGACCTCTCTACGCTTCCTGCCTCGGAGCTTAGTGCGTTAACACCCTCATTCTCCGGCGAACTGTCCCAGAGAGATGCCAAAAGGTGACCTCTCGCCTCTCTCTCCTGGTGTCAGATAGGAGGGGCTCCTCCTCCGTGGAGCATTTCTGCTGTAACACACCTGACGCCCTGAAAAGTGTGACAGCTGCAGAGTCCGTGTTGCTCCCCATCCCACCCTCTCTCTCTCCCTTCTACCTCCCTCTTCGCTTCCACCCGGTCTCAGGCTGTAATCACACAGCTTCATGCTCCAGGGCCCCGCACTGCTGATTGGAGCCTATCTGACGGCTGGCAGGAAAAACTATCGGAGGGGATAAAATATTCACACACAGCCGTTAGAAGATCCAGGGGGAAAGTCTGAAGGCATTAGCCAGAGTCCACAAACATCTACACTGACAGTGTTTCCCAAACGTTGAGCTCCCTTGACAGGTTTTTTTTTTTACTTGCTTAACACCTCCCAAAGTGTCAGCGCGAACAAAAACAGGGAGACGCACACATGCCCTGGAGTAGGGATCTATTGGGATTACCTGAGGAAAGCTCTTGGAGGTTCAGTATTCCTCCCTACAATGGTACTTTTCACAACAAGACCTGCATGTTCCTATTTCACACCAATCTTGCTATAGGCCTCGGGGAGACCCAGCCCCACTCACAGTAAGACCATTAAACTGCTCACACAGCACTTCATTTCAAAATAAAAAATAGGCTGAGCTATCTTAAAGTGGTTCCACAGAAAAAAAAAAAGAAAAAAAAAAATCCTATCTCTCTCCAGTTCCCTCTCAAACTACCCTCTCTGCTCCATCCATTTTTATACCCATGACAAGTAATCATCTCTCCCATCAATCCAGCCTCTTTCATCCCTGGACTCTGAAGTTCTTTACTGAGGGAGAAACTCATTGTAATCTCATCACAGTATCTCCCGGAGAGCTTTCTACCTGAGCGTGTGGTCGAGAAATGAAAGGTGAAGATTGTAGCTCAATATGTGACGGCGGCGGCGTCGGGCTCCCTAGGGGCAAGTACAAGCTGGGCAAACAGAGCCTCTCTCATCAGAACACATCTGAAGTGCGCGCGAGAGAGAGGCAGGAGAGGCGGGATTGACCACGGCTTTCCATCAGGATAAAATTGAACCTATTCCATGCCACTGTACGGTATCATGAAAGACACGAGCAAATCAACATTTGGGAAGCTTCTGTCGGATTGGAAGTTTTTCCGTAGGAGGGTGCAGATGGAGGTTGGTTCTATTTTGTGCTTTTTTGTATAAAAGAGTGCAACGTGCTGGATTGGTGTAACATTCTCTTGATAGGTCTGTAGCAGTGTGTTTGCTTGCCAAGCATGAGTAGGAGGATCAATAGACTGTGGATTAGGAAGGCATGCATATGAGCCTTTTTTTTTTTTTGCTGCTGAGAAAAACCTGATTCCAGTTGGTTTTTCCATGGCCTCCTTAGAATCTCAGATACTTCAAAATGGCGGCAGATCAAACACAGCGTGTTGCCGCATCTTTAAAATTCCTCTTTCACGCTATATGTGTCCTCTTTGTCTGCAGGTCTCATTCGACTGCAGGAGCTGATCAAGGCGCCGTCACGATACAACATCCGTTTGAAGATCCGACAGCTGCCCACGGAGACCAAGGACGCCAAGCCACTTCTGAAGGAGATGAAGAAGGCGAAGGAGTTCCACGTCATCTTTGATTGTGGACACGAGATGGCTGCCTGGATCCTGAAGCAGGTACGAGTCCACCGTAATGAGCCATGATCGCTTCTTAGAGTCACTGCGACGGGGGAAAAAAAAAAAAAAAAGGAAACCCAAAAGCCATTAATAATAAATAAATGATAAGTAGCTGCGGAGAAAGAAAAAAAAAAAACGCTCATTTAATATTAAACACTTGAAGGTTCCATATTTTTTACCTTTAAGTACAATATGTACACAATTAGAGAGGCTCCGCTGATGGAAGAGGCTGCAGCATTTGTGCGTAACATCAGTAATTCTATCATCGTATTTCCTGAATTTAATTAAAAGCAAGTTAACTGCAGTCTCAAAATTTGCATAATTTCCCCTTATAGAGACACAGACTCAGTACTGAGTACACAGAGTCACTGTTCATTCATTATGTATATGTACTAAAACAATAAGATCATGCGTGTTCCCCTTATTACTCTTTCTCTCGTTAAGCACTGATGCAAATGATTTGGATACCTACTCTCTACTCTGGGCATCTTTAATCTCTTCGTAGAATATTGGATCTCTACTACTGGCCTATCATAATGAATGCTCTCCACTGCACAATAAAGTTTTTTTTAATTAGAAAGTCTAATTCAGCTCCCAGGCAAGTTAAATTCATTTAACGGAGGCACATTATTTATGAGAACTGTGGGGGGTTCTCATTGACTCCGAGTCTTGGAGTTCTCCATACCGCGGCGCGTCTACGGGAAAACAACACGAATGATTATTTATTAGGGAGAATAGTTAGTTGGTTATTTATTGCGTCATGCACATGTGAACATGAACAAAGCTCCTTGCGTTGCGCTGTAATCATCATATAATGAGCAATAAAATATGAAATGGACTCGGTTGTTGTCGGTGCTAATGGTAATGTATCTTAGTGGGATTGTGCGTGCAGGAATATTTGATTTTTTGGGGGGAATTCTGCTTCACAAAAGGCCCGAGGTTTATAGCAGACATCGGCGTATCTGAGAGTCATGAATTTCACTCCGTCCTGGAAAATAAAAACAGAAGCTAAATGAATACTTAGAGGCGTACTCCTTCAGTCTTTAAGTTTGTGTGCGTGTCGCTGTTCGTCGTAACCACCCACCGCTTCCTTGACTGCAAACAGCTTTAATAGTGTTCCCACTGAACATAACAAGGAAATTTTTAGAAGGTATTTTTGCCAACTCACATAGCGGCGGAGCTGTGAAATAAACTAAATCACATCAGCGCAAACAACATATTTTGTGTGAAAAACAGCTACTTTAAAATGTTTTGTCAAAACAGGCGATAAAAAGGGTGTCATCAGTTGGGGTTTTTTTGCATAATTTGACCCGCTTCTTTTTATTCTTCGTTATTACATAAAAAATCTCTTTCAGGTGTTGGTTGGATGGATTAGCTGAGACATTACTGCCTGCGTGGTGATACCATGACATTCGCAGGATAATAACTGTTGAATAAATCTATTAATCAGCCGCCGGTTCCAGTTAAAAACGTCGTAAATATGCATGTTTTCTTTTAACGGGGAAACCTTTTCCTCTCTCAGGTGCCTGTCTGACAAGTCTCGGGGTGGCTGTATGGGTTAAATAACAGCTAAATGAATAATTATAATGAATAGCAGAATATGCCCATTAAGCTGTTTGTATTTGACTTCTAGTTGCTGCCTGCTATTCATTTGTCCCTGCAGGCCCTGGCCATGGGGATGATGACTGAGTACTACCATTATATTTTTACTACCCTGGTGAGTACACTGGCATTTCGTTTATTTTTTTCTTTATTGACAAAATGCATTGATAGACTGTTATTTGTTAGATTCTTTATCCTTTCTCTGCACATCACTGTCCGCCTGATGATGTGTGGTTGGGACAGTTTCCTTTGCCTGGGCTCATTGGCGTGCAGACGCTCATCTGCTTCTGCTCGTCGCGAGACAAAATTCATCCATCTGTCTGAGTGTCGGATGGTAGTTTTTTCCTTTCCCAGAATAAAATTAAACTCCACTGGGAGCAAGATGAAAAAAACAACATCCTATTATTTTCGTTGTGTGTGAACCTGAACTCCAACCTGACTTCATGCTGATAACAAAAAAACAATATATTGTCTTGAAAGGCTGAGTCATTTTCTGTAGTTTATCCTAAATGCATTCTTTTAATTTCGAGGTATCGGTTGCGAAAGTTTAACTTCGGACTTCTCTCTGAATTCTGCGCCAACCTTTTTCACCCCACCTGGCTGACCACAGCCCTGAGTGTAGGAAACAAAAGCAGTCGGAGGTATTTTATTCTGACTCAGGCGGCGATTGAAGTTCTCCAAAGTTCTTTGATCTAGCCACTACAAAGATTGCTTGCTATGCTGCAGATGAAAAGCAGCACATCTTCTCTGAGCCAAGAGAACAGAAGACTGAGAGCTCAGATAATAGCCCTGAGCAGATGAGACTGTCACCCATTTGGTCCATTATAGCTCTAACAAACAAATGGCACGCTGTGTTGTTTGGAGCCCAATTGGAAAGGCTGAGGGAGAGGTTTCGAGCAAAACTGACCTGAAAAAGACATTTACCAGTGCAACAGGATATGTAACTACCCATCCACATAAGAACCTGGTTAGATGAAAGGGGGAGTGAGTGACAGCAGGTATGGCAGTGGGGAAGGGAAGAGAATAGTGATTATAGGGCTGTTTCGGCGGTGTGTTGCTGCTTGCCGGGATGGAAACATGCCTACTTTAACATCAGCCAGTGTTTGGCAGACCGGAGGCCGCTGTGCTGGCCTAAGCTGCCGTGTACTGGTACCAAGCCATCCGTGCTGCTTTCGGAATAGGACAGCAAACATTGACCATGGCACCCCCATTCTGCGTCCATCACCTGCTGTTGCTCTGTCAACTGTGCTGCTGCGTCCCAGAGACATCTGCCTGGTGAGATGCCAGACATGCTGTATGCAGGACAATCGGGTTGTCCTTTCACTTCCACATGATAGATGGCAGTCCACCAAGGCCTGCCTGTAACCTTGAAAGTCTTGCCTTAATCAAGGCTACTGCCTCAGCGTGAGATAAAACAACTCACGAAACGCCTTCAACCGCCTGCACCTTTCTGCTCGCGCGTCTCCGGCGAAAAGACGCCACTCAAACGACTGCTCTTAATTAGCGAGACGAGAGGCGTGCGACGCTGCACAAATGAAGATGAGAAAATCATTATTTCTGCAGAACCACACATCTTTCATCTTTATGCTTCCAGGACCTCTTCGCCCTCGACATGGAGCCGTACCGATACAGCGGAGTCAACATGACCGGGTTCCGCATCCTCAACACGGAAAACTCTCAGGTGTCGTCAATCATCGAGAAGTGGTCGATGGAGCGGCTACAAGCCCCGCCCAAACCGGACTCGGGCCTGCTGGATGGATTCATGACAGTAGGCTTAAACCCTTTTTTTATGCTGCTTACGTAATGCACGTTATGCTGCGCATGCAGGACATGTTTATAGCTGCAAGTGACCAAATCAATGGGGCGCCATATTTAAAGTATCAGCACTTTTGGGGGTTTTATTCTGCAAGGCACATGTTTTTTTTGTTTTGTATTTTTTTTTAAACACGGAATGATGTTTGTGAAGCTCCAGATGAGCGTTGATGAGACAAATGATTGCTTTGAAATGTACAGGAGCGATTCCAAAAGGGGGGAATAAGTGAGTGCCAGTTGTCAATCACAAGCTCAGTGGTGCGGGGCTCCCGGGGTGGGTACAGAAGCAGCATGAATGCCCTCTGCGTGGAGCTTTTGAATTGGTGCTCCTGGGTCTAAATGCTCAGTAATGAGCCGGTGTGAATGGTAATAGCCGTTTATCTGCCCTCCTGCCTCTCACAACTCTCCTCTGGGAGCGTGGCCAAAATATGACAATCTGTCAGTGTTCATGCAGAGAGAGGGAGCAAATTGGATGGAAATTATGGCCTTGGTTTTTTAGGATGGCATCCAAAAAAGCATGGGATAAGGTGATTTGAAAGTGAAAACGGGAATGGAGCTCGTCATGGACATTCAAGGTCCCTTTCTGGGTCTGTTGTTGTAAACAGTCAATTTACTCCGCCTCCCTCACAGCATCCTTCCTGAGAGACAGACACCTTCTTTTTTTCTCTTCTCCCCTCTTCTTTTAGCCAGCTTTTCTCTTTCTTTCCTTCTTTCTTTTTTTTTTGCTTGGCAGATTTAAGATCTGGTATCAGAAATCTGTCTAATGAAAGAAGTGTCTTTTCATCAAAGACTTAAAGAGAACCCTTTGAATTAGACCCAGTGGATGGTGTCTCTGCACATATCAATCACAGCCGCAATTCACTTCTTACATGTGATCAAATATGAAAACACACAATCAGTCACGGAAATAAATGTGTTTTTGTCGTCTTTATTTGCTGCACTCCGCTCCTTCATGTCTTGTTGGAAATACGCTGCGAACATACAAATATCATATCACATTTTACCTCAAGCAGCAGCGTATGCATCCTTTTTTTTTCCCCCATGTGGCACCGGAATGCAGGAAAACAAGCAAAGTAGTTATGTATGCAGAAAGATTAATGCAATTCACAAAGGGGTCAAATCGCTTCTTTTTTTTTCTTTCCCTTCCCCGGAAATTAATGGATATTAGTGGTGAATGTTGAAGTGATTAATTAGCATTGCATGAATCATCTTGTCAGATCCTATACTACATATTGACATATCTCACTGGACTGGAATCTCAGTTAAATAATAAATAATACTTCCAACGGCAGGCTTGACAAAGTGCTTCATTAGAGTGCTCTATTTATAAGTCCCAGGTCTGCTGTGTTTTATTCTTCCAGCCTTCTTTATAATGAGTGAATGCACAAAAAATAATAAAGTAATAATAAATGTATGAGCAGCTCTACTGATTTAAAACACATCCCACACCTACATAATGAACGCAAGGATTAAAATAACATTTGGTTTTTCTGTAACACAAATGTCTTTAATTAATCTGTAGATTTGACATTTATGCTGCGGCGCTCTGGGCAGCGAAGCCACCTTGAAGGATATCATTAAATTAAAGCGAGAGAGTGCTGCAGCGGCCGGTGCGTGACCTTCCACCCCCGACCCTCCCTCCAGCCTTTTATTTCTCCTCTCTCCCTCTTCCTCTCTCTCCCTTCCTCTCATGCCTTGTTCTTATTCTGTGCGATATAGAAGCCTTGCTGGGTTTTCTGGGCTTGTTTGCGCTCGGTGGCCAGGCAACAGTTGTGTAGCGATGGTTACCAGGACAACGCCGTCCATGTCACCTTGTGATTTCATGAAGGATTGATTGACTGAGATGGGAGGAGGAGGGTTGCAGCAAGAGAGGGGGGTTTGACGAGGAGGTGGAGGAGGAGGAGGAGGAGAAGGGGCAGGAGCGATCGGGGGGCGGGTGGGGTGAGGGGAGCGTCGAGAGGTGCATGCGATGTTTTTCCCTCGCGCCACGAGGCTGGCGTTAATGCAGGCTGGTGTATAATCACAGTGACACTCGGTGCCTTGGGTGAGGCCGAGTGTTGTCTCAGGGAAGGATGTATAATGAGAAGTCCTTCCCCAGACCAGGCGAGCTCACAGCCACGACCGCACTGATCCGCCGCCTCCTAACTCTGTTTGTCAGAGGTATCCTGTGCAACGTGGAGGGACGCATAATCAGAGCGGGGATGCTAATTAGTTTGTTTCATTTGTTTGTGTGTGTGCCGCCGATCTCATCTGTTTGTGTCAGCTCCTCGACCGAACCCCCAGATTAAGCTCAAGTCGTCCGAACCCTCCGTCCTGAGGTGAATTTGCAGCAATTAGAGACCTGCAACCTGCACACAGACCGACAGCCTCGGCAGCAGACAGAAATATTAGATGCTTTGTATCAAATCTGATTATTATTTCGTCTGTGTCTGCATATAATTATTGCCTGCAGCTAATGAGATATTTGGTTTTAATGCTTTGTTGTAATTTGAATTATTTTAAATCCCCATTCAATGAGCTAAGTATATACTTAGATTTAACTGAGGGTAAATCTAAAAACCGGTTTCCCTGTTGTATGCCTCCCCCGAGGCTCTAGCCCCAGATCTTTTCTACATCTGCATTATTTCATTTATGTCTACATTTCACTGAGCTATAATTACCAGCACAGAGAGCTGCAAGTTCTCTAGTGTCATCAACACAATTGAAAATTCCGGTGTAATAGCTCATAATAATGACTCTCTTATTAATAGGGAGCGGTTGTTTGAATAATATGTATGACACGGCGGGGCTGGGATGCTCTTCTAGTTCACATGGGACGCAGTTAAAAGCTTGTTAGACTAACACAGTCTAAATGAACTGAAAACACAACAAATGCGCTGAGATGCATGCACGCTCAGCAAACTTTCCAAGTGCGCCGTAATAATTCTAAATGAAAATCAGCTCGTGAAAATATCGACAACGCTGCACGCTGTCTTTTATACGCCCCCTAATAAGGCATAAAAATACGTTGTTTGGATGCATAGAACACACAGGAAAAGCTATTTAATAGAACCAAAATGCTGCCATACCAACCGTCCAGCATGGTGGTGGCAGCATTGTGCTCTGGGGCTGTTGGAGCTGGTGCCGTACACAGAGGAAATTAAATAATGAGAAAGGAGAATTACTTTCACTGCCTTCAGGAAAACCTAAAATGATCAGCCAGAAGGTTTGGTCTTAGATGTTCAAACAAGACAATGACCCCAAACACACATCAACAGTGGTAAAAGAAACGGCTAAGTCACGGTAGAATTAACCCTGTTCAGGACTTTTGGGGTCTTTTGGATCCAAAACTACGTCAGCTTATCAGAAAATACTATAAAAGTCTACAATGACTACCAACAAATCTTTTGCACATGTTCCTTCTTGGGGTCCAGTGGATCTCTAAAGACCTTCCACGTATGGAAACATGAAACAGGGTTAAAGCCTCCCCGAGGTAATGACTTAAACTTCATCAATCTGTGTCAGAAAGCCGACAAATTTAGTTTAACTGCACCAATTCTATCAAGAGGAAAGGTCAGAGATATCCCCAGAAGCTTGTGGACGGCTACCAACAGCACCTCGTTAGAGTGAAACTAGCCAAAGAAACTTTTACCAGATTTAGCTTTGCTGTTTGTATGTTTTTGACCTGGAAGATTTTGTTATATTTCCAGAAAACCTGTAATAAATCTAATGATTTAAAAGAAGAATTGAATTCATTTTCATTTTACATTCAATTTTTGCAACAAAAACATGTCAATGATTCCATCAGAGAAAATTAAGAGTTGTAGGAATCATTATAAAGCCAAGCCTGCTATCATATAGGTGGTCTTTACATGTGCTATACCTTCCCTACTAAAAGTTATAATCCTAGAGTTTTTTCCTAACAACATAAAACACACTGCCAAGCATTTTTCAGCAGCAGCTCTCCAGCGTATCTGTATTCTGTAACTGTCTCACCGTATAATTGTTAATGGCAGTCTGCCATTCCCCCCATGGGATACCAATCGCACGCAGAAGGGATTCACCAGAAGTGGTGCGTGCACGCACTGGGTCCTGTTTCACCAAATTCGCAGCGTGCCAGCTGTGATTTGCAACACGAGATAATTTCCTCCCTGTTAATTCTGACACATTTCGCTAACCAAGACAAACTCAGTGCCTGTGACCTGGGCCCGGCCGCCTGAGAGCCCTGCAGCACTCGCAATCATTTTCCTTCCTGAGTGACAGTCTTGTTTGTGATGCTGCCACCATTTTGCAACACGAGTGTGCGCAAATTCATTTGTCAAACAGGCCTCTGGTTGTTGTTGTGACGCTGGAATCCGGAGCGTGCATGCGTTGTACGTATAATGTGAAAAACAAGCTCGTTGCTCATCAGACTTCCGTATTAGAACTAAATGACTCGATGAATCCTCTCTGGCCCTGTTGCCCTTCTGCTTCTGAGACAGCGTCGCCAGTCAAGATGTGTTTTCTTCCTTTAGTGGTTGATGCCTTTGAGCCGAATTATTACCACAATGATCTTGCCATTACCGCCAGATCAACAAAGAGCGAACAGACAGATTTTAATGTAATGTTTTCTGTACAGATTGTGCCTTTTTAAGTATTTTCTGCTGAGTGTACTTCATTTCTATTTGGGCTCAAATTAGGTATAATGGGAGCAGGGAATGAAACAGCGAGAGAAAAATGGAGGGAGCAGGTTTGCTGAGAAACACACAGGAGTAGAGTGAGGCAGGGAGAAAGAGGGGAACAACACACACCTAGGTGCATTAACGAGCACTGCTGGGAGGAGACACCCACACACTGAAAGCACTCAATGCAGGAACCTGCGAGGTAGCAGCTCCGCTCTGCAAAGACCGTGCTTGTCATGCATGTTTTATGTGTGTTTGGACTGCGCGTAAGTGTGAAACACAATGAGCACATATTGTAAGATGTCTGGTTCAGCTC